CTACGTCTTTCCCTTGATATAACAAATCCCCCAGCCCAGTATTGTTTTTGGAAAATCTGTTTCTTATCAAATGAAATGGAAAGGTGACATCATCGCTTGCGCTAACATTCGTCTGCTCCGTTTTACACATCTCTCTGTCTGCTGTCGCTGCGCACGCAATGTTGCAACTGAGAACTGATTTCATTCACTGAGGACTGATGACAACGTAATCTGTAGTAAGCTGTGATTGGGTGATAAGTAAATATGGTGAATTGTAAAATTTTTGGATAAAGAGAAATCTAAGAAAGAATATGAAAACAAAAGCAAAGAGAAAGAATAGCAACATCGTTATTTTAACATTACTTAATTTACGAGTGTTTTAGCGAATTTCCCTATAGGGAAGTAGCTATTACCGTAGGTCTCATGGTAAGACTTAGGCCCGGGACCGATTTACTTTTTCATTTTGATGTCCCCAGAGGCCAAAAACACCACTCGTTCAAATTTTTATATATGTATATATATATATATATATGTGTGTCCGCGAACACGATAACTTGAGTAATTTTTATCCAATTTTGATGAAATTTGGTTTGAAGGTGTAAGGCGGGATAAACTTGAATGAGTTCGCGATCCAGCATGATCGGACCATGGGAACAGGGTTTTATGGGGGGTTTTATGGGGTAAAAATTGGTTTTTCTCACTTTTGACCCTCAAAACACAAAATTTCCCAATTTTTCTCTAAACCTTCTTAAAGAGCTTAAAAAAACAAACAATTCAGTATATCAAAGTGTTTTTGTACGGTTATTGGTTACGCAGAAAACTAAAAAAATGGTAAATTTAAAATTCCCATGTTATTCTTATGGAGAATATTGTAAAATGTTGTAGTTTGCTTGTTTATGGATATCTTTTGATCAAACTTGGCAAATATATTCATTTTATACTAAGCAATAATTATTTTACTTAAAACACACACTTTATTAGTTTCCTTGTAGCAGCAAACCTAGGTACTCGTTAAACCTAATGTTATTTAAATAGATCAATTGAAAATCAATTCAGCCAAATGGAAATTCGCTTAGGCGTCAGGTTTGCTGCGGCGGGGGTATTTATTATCTTTAAGTTGGCTATGAATATGCATTTTCATAATGACTTATCTAATAATTTATTGTTTTCAATACGATTTGTTTCAACTAGCAACACCAATGCTATAGTTAATGATTATTATTGACATTCCTCTGTTGTGATAAATCAGTACTGTACTGTAAGTAGCCTACCGGCCTATCACGGAGCAGTCAGTAGCTTACAAAACTGTCTACTGTTTTGTTTTGTTTTTTACATGGTTTATGACTACGCAATGTAGTGTTTAGCTAGGTTTTAGGAGGGTAATAACAAGCTGTGATTTTAAACTTACAGTTTTTAACCTGTACCAAGGTCAATGCCATTGTCATGATTGCGCAATATTCAAGATCCCTCACCTTTATTATGCCGGATAATTTAGGTTCTACCATTGACTATTGGATACAGAAGGTTCTACTGTACAATGAACACTGTACTGTAAAGTATTGTAGCCTATGCTACTTTAATTGTGTTTTAATGAGGTCAAATCCCGGTCTATATTGACCGACGCTGGTTCTGAACCTCGACTTAGCGAAATTCCTGCAAACCTAACCTCTATATAACGAACCTCATTTTAACGAAATCCTTGATATAACGAATATTCAGTTAGGTCCCTTCAGATTTGTTATACTGAGGTTGGACTGTATTATGGGTAACCTAATGCGGCTATGAGTAAGGCTATTTGTAGAAAACACTAAAAAACAAGATCAGCTTTTCAAAAAATTATAAGATATTTACAAGAAATTGTGATTATATCGATCTGCTATGTACCTACATCATAAATATTTCCAAAATCTTTGAGTTGAATCTTTTAAAGTCATCAGAAATTATGACTGTTATTCGTTTTAAAATAACGCCTTTAATACTTAGCAATTGCTCGAATTCGAGCAACAGGGACACTAGTATTTACTTATTGTTTAATGCAAAACAGATTGTAAATAAAACTATGTTAAAAAAAATTGATTATAGGAAATAAGTAAGATTCTATAACCATTGCTGTATACAAATTGAAGCTCACGAATCTTCAAAAGAAAGCTTATGAAAATTACTTTACAATTCAACTTTTTGAGGAAAGGTTGGGGAAATAACAATGATCACATGTTTTAACTCATCTTGGAAGCTTTTTCTTTACTATCAATTTTGAACTGCTTAAACTATGCCTGAATTAGTAATAGACACACTATATACAGTTTTAATGGACTACTTGATTCCCGTACGTAGGACGGGCCAACAGCTCGTAATTACTATAAAAATATATTATTGTTACCTTTGCAATTGTCCAGCAATTACTAATGTTTGAGACTATTGAGACAAACAATTCAGTACCCCAACGTAAATATTACATAAAATAAAAATGATTTTCCCAAAAACACTAATTAAACCTCCTGCCTAGATAATGGTGCAATATAAGAAAAATTTAGTTCATAACATGGGCAAAAAGTGTATTTTAGCTCTTGTTGGAAAGAGTCAATTTACACCCTAAAGATAAAATATACTAGGCCTATTAACATCCACTAATATCAGTTTTGTGATACTTACAATGCACTTGCTACCTACTCTTTTACGTCAAAGAGTACAACTAAGCAAAACATATAGGCTAAACGTAATTTTATAGTTATTTATTCAGCCTTATAACAACATAATATTTTAATGGACTTGATCAAAAACACTTGAAGGTTTAGATAAATATATAAATAAACAAACAGTAATAAAAAAAAATCAATAAGGTATATTTGTAGGATGTAGACCAAATTATATAGTATCTAGAGAAATTATATAGTATCTAGAAATTTAAAAAAAAGAGGTTGGCGGCCTCTTTTAACCTTGCATTTGCCCATCCACATAGACTAACTGCCCATGCGTGGAGCGTATCCAGCAAAGCAAGGGGTGAGCCAGTTTACAAAGGATTATCTATATTTTGAAGAGATATGATGACTCAGTCAGTAATCTATATATTTACTTCTGTAAGCGAATCGGTCTCCACAAAAAATCTCGAGCCAGTAAAAAGGCAGCATTGCTGTTGATGATTCCTTTTAAAGCTCAAGGTCCTAGGACAGTGGGAAAAATGTCAGAAGTGTCAAAAATTACCCCTGCTCTGCCCCACAGACAGGCATCAAAGATCCAATCATTTTCTAATGGAAGTACTGCTACAGTGTTTCTACAAGTTTTTTTTAATATACCAGCTGATGTAAACATTGCGTATTTGTTTGTTTATTGGTTTTAGTGTTCTGTTTTTAGGTTATGGTAATGCAGTGTTGAAATGTATCGTGTTAGGGGTAGACCACAATTACGAAGGAGTTTTTTTAGGAATGGTGCACTGCATAGGGAATGTTTAACCCTAGAAGTGGCGAGACCGATTTTCAGTATGTGCTTTGTGGAGTGGCACGCTCATTTTGGTGAATTTGTAAGGGAGTTCTTCAAAAATCTGTATAAAATTAGTATGTAGAGATAAACTATTGAACCGTATATTCATTTTGTTCGTAATAGTCAGTAGAATTCAAAAATGGTAATACAAACCAATTTTAGAAAGGTTGATTTTTAGAAAAAAGTAAAAAAAAGAAAATTTATAAATTTTTCAAATTTTATTTCAAAAGCAAACACGTGTCACATGTAACGTAATTTTTTATTGCACAATTCAAAATATGCATTTTGTTCAGAATTTATTCCTCTACATAGACATATCATAATATACACAAAAGAATTATTTTTATAGATTTACTAGCAATAATACGGAAAAATTGGAAAACGTCAATTTCCTCAACTACACGTTGATAGATCCACAAATGCCCTCTACTAATAAATCAATATGATAAAACCATACATTTTTTGAAGCCAATAATATCATTCTATATAAGAATAACTAAATAAGATAAGTAATAGAATACCGTATTTGGTTTTCACAAAAGCAAAAATGTAAACAAAACAACTGATCAGCTGTTATAGCCCACAAAACTTTACTAACTTTTTATCCTATTTTGGATCACACATGTATAAATATTTATGCAAAATAATGCATACATATTTCGCTTAATACAAAATAAAAAACTAAAACGAACATTACACTGTAAAATTTGGGATAAAACCCAGACTTCGTCTTTGTTATCGGACAAAAACTCACGACGACGCCGCCATTTTAGGTTAGACGATGACAAGTGTTCTGTTCCTTTAGCTTTGAAAAATCAAAAGCTTCTACTTGTGTGACCAGCCTAACAACATTGAATTCTACTGTCCTTCGTCTACAAGAGCGTATATAAAACAACGTTTTTGTACTTTTCACATTTTATATATATGCGATTTAGAAATCGACATTTTATGTCGATCCGCCACATGAACAATACGTAAAAATAGGCTATTTACAAAAATTGTTCATCAGCTGTTGGAATGTATTATGACGTTATACTTTATACAGAATAAAAGATTTCTTCATGCTTGTTGCAGTGGTACCACTTGCTTTTGTCAGAGACAAAAATTACGTCTGCTATTTATTTTTGAAATGACTCATCATTTACGATTGCACAACAAAACATGGCGTTCGCGAGTTCGCGCGTATTTTTCGTTTAAATGTAACTCATTATAAGATCGATGTATTTATGTTATAAGGTTCATTCTTATAATAAAATGAAACTTCGGAATCTTATCTTTTCATTGGTATAAGAGTTATGTCATTTCACCGACTTTAAATGTGCTTAACATGCAACTGAAAAAAAGTTACATAAATCGACATATTCTGTCGCCCGCCACTCCAGCGGCACATTTTGAAATCAACATTTTCTGTCGATCTGCCACTCCTAGGGTTAAGGCCAATTTACAACAGAGGTGAAGGGCAGCAATTGCTACTGTGGGCCCCTAGTAGGTATTATTGAAATACAATAACAGCTAGACTACAACATATTATAGGCTACTGGTACCTATTATGGTCTTTCAGAATTTTTGTCCCCAAACACCTGTCTTGTCTTAATTTGCAATTTTTCAAACCACGCTTCAGTTCCTCTTGCCTTTCAAGTAAACTGGAAAAAAGAAAAATATTCACATTAAACATTACAAAATATAAGCTTGATGAAACAAATTATATACCTCTCTACTTATCACTGTGATTCTTAAAATACAAGTTTCTCATATATTATGCTAACGTTCATTTACATTTTATATCATTTATGAAGTAGTTTTGTATTCGTGGAAGAATATAGTCTACCAATGGGAAACATTTCTACTCTGCTTACAGTTTTACCTAGTCAGATCTGCCAAAAACTGCACGGGCATTTTTGTAACCGGTCCATAAAGCTGCAGCTAACAATTATCTCTATTAAATTATAAACCAAAAACATTAGAAGAGATTAAAGAGTAAAACACCAGATATGTCACATTTAGCTACACGGGGACTACAAAACAAAGGACTGCTAACAGATTCAAGAAATACGGAGTTTCAATAGCCTACAGAACTCAGAACACCATTAGTAAAATACTGCATCCTAAAATAGAAGATTGTAACAAATTTGATGCTTCGGGCATCTACAAAATCAATTGCAACAATTGTGATAGCTTCTACATTGGACAGGCTGTGAAATTCGTTAACCGCTTCAAAAAACACATACCTGCGTGGAGGAACAACAAGCTGGAAAGATCAAATGTTCACAACACCTGTTACAAAAGGGACGATATCGAAGTTGGACAACGTTAAACGTGGACTACGTTAAAAGCAGACACCGCCTCAATCAGACAACGAAAAAAGCAGACAACGACGAACCTGGACACATTCAAATGTGTCCAAGCTTAACGTTGCACGAAAACGTCGAACCTGGACACGTTTTTAAGTTGTCCAGGGGTGGCGCTTCACGACACGACGAAACTGGACACATTCAAATGTGTCCAAGTTTAACGTTGCACGCAAACGACAATCCTGGAAACTTAATCTGTCCAACTTTAACGTTGTCCGCGTGTGTCGTTGTCCAAGTTCGGCGCGGTCCCTTACAAAATGGTCACTCAAAAGGAAAAATGGAGGATAGTCTATGTATTTTAAAGAATTGTAAAAAAGGATATGTAGTTAATGCTTGGGAAGAATTGTATATTTATAAGGAACAGTATAATATAGAAATAAGATGATTAATGAACAAGTAAATTTTGACTCCAGTTGTACTTATAAAAATGTATTGGCCGGTGCTTCCGGTAGCCAATAGATATAAGTATCCGGCCATTCAAGATTCTTGTCATTCGCCTATTGGGTCTGTTGATGACTGGAGTGTCCAATCGAAATCGATTACATCTTACTATCTTTTATGTATATTTATATTACCGTCTTAGGAGTTAACAGTATAAGCGTAAATATATGTTTTAACCCTTTGCGGTCGAGTAGGGAGGATAGGTCGCGACCCGCCTTTTTCCCGACCGCTCAAAAATGGTAACCTATACTAAAAGAAAAAAAATCAAAAAAGTTTATTTTTTCAGTTGAATGGCGAGTATAGGTCACGGGCACCATTTTTCCGACTGCTCTAATGGCAAACTATACTGGGCAAAAAATGGGGGGAAAATTCGACTTCAAAGGGTTAAGTGCTATTAGACGTATCTTTTATTTACTTTCCGTGCAAATATGAGTGAAGAACTTCAAGTTAAAGTAAAGTTTTGTCTTGAAAGTGAAAATCAGTATGCCTATTACGCCACACTATACTTTTAAACGTAAGAAATGTTGACGACCAGAGACGGTGTGATGAATGAAAAATGAAATAAATAACTCATTTATTTTTAACAAAAAGTGTATGGTCAGGTTGCCCATCCGACCAGGTAAACTAAGAGCTGAATTTGTATTCCGATTACCAAGAGAAAAGCTGGTAATTGTACAAATACAAGTTTTTAATAACAACTAATGCAATTTGCCACAAATTGATTTTTGTTATTTTTTCATTTTGTGTCACGTAAATCAGGTTTGCAGTAAAAGACCAAAATGTATTCGTGATCGCTAGGGATGATAAAGACGTTGTCATAGTTGCGGAAGATCACCACGATGTTGCTGTGGTGACGTCAGATGGTTTAACACAGATGTTTTTTTATACTTTGTATAAGAGAGAAATTTACTACTTCACACTGCCATCCAGAAGTCATAAATAATTGGCATCTGGGTTAATCTTTATGGTTTTTAGGAATGGATCATTAGTTGATGGTATATATTCAAGTAAAACTTCAATAATAAAAGTCATATCTGCAAATGCGGTATTCTGAGGCCAATAAAAAAAATTGTTATTTCAACAATAAGGTACTTGAACGAGGTACCAGGTGAAAAGAAGGGGATTGAATGATGTATAGATTCAGCTTTTAGTGATGTTGCTCCCAGCAATTGAAGTTCCCTGATGAATTTCTTAAAAATAATAAAGGAAAGGGGTCTCCTGCGGCACCGGATAGGTCTTACACTTGACGACTTCAAACTCAAACTCTTTATTTGTCATAAAAAACATTACAAATTTGAGCATAGCTCATGTAACAGATGGCATGTCAATTATGCTAGAGTGTAAATTAATTATTACAATTAATTACAATTACAATTATTACAATTAATTATTAAAAAATCAAATACAATGGATAAGATACAGTCTAACAAATATGAGAATATATACAGTACAACACCCCTGACTCAGACAGATGTGCTCATTTTAAAAAAAAATCGTCCACTTTATAAGGACATGTTGCAGCTAGATGAGTTTCCAGTTTTTTTAAAAATGTGTTAGTTTTTTTTTCTTTTTTTATCTCTGGTGGAAGGTGATTAAACAGTTTAATTGCCATGTAATATGGACTCTTCTCCAAAAGAGACAATCTATGTTTAGGGTACCGCAGAGTGTCTGTGTTTCTTGTACCCTGAGTCCCCAGACTGTTATTTGAAAAATATTGTTGATGTTTTTTAAAGAATTTCAGAACTTCAAAAATATAAAGAGCTGGTACAGTTAATAGTTTAGAATTTTTGAAATATTGTTTACATGATTTTCTAAATTTTAGTTTAAACATTGCTCGAATGGCCTCTTTTTGTAACTTGAATATCTTGACAATTACTGATGTCCCACCCCAAAGGATGATGCTGTACCTAACAATTGATAAAAAATAACCATGATAAACCTGAAGACATGTCTTTATATCTGAGATGTTGGCAATAGTTCTAATTCATAATGCTAACGCAAGACAAAAAAATGCATAACCAATGAAACTGGAATTAAAGTCGAAGACTGTATAAAAGCATTCAATGCAAACGCTGTTAAAGGCAGAGTCAAGGTCATCTAACCAATGATGTCTTGAAAGATGTAAACAGTAAATTTTGGCTTAGTAAAAAAATAAAATAAAAAAATTAAAATTATATACATTTTTAATTTTTACATCTCTTATATTAATACGTGAGGGCTGTTTTTTGTGAACAAAACTCCTCCGTTATTTCTGGACCGATTTTAACATTTGAGGTGTCAAATAATTCGTCTCAATTTGTAGTTTTGCATAAAGGTTTTAGAATTTAAAAACTCTTACCCTTAAGGGCACGAGACGCTCTCAAAGGTCGGATTTTTTCCCATAAGAATTACATTGAAAACAAATTTAAAAACAAAAACAGCTGTGTAAAAAGAAACTCACCAGCTTTTTGGGAGTAAATATTAATGTTTGTAATATTTAGGAGGTTATAGACAAATCTAAACAGTCAATCAGTTTTGTTGAAAGAACCGACAATTTCTTGAGTTTAAAGGAGAAATATTGAAAACAGGAGGAGGAGACAATTAATAGGAAATCTTATACGTATGAGAAGAGTAGAGGAGAGGCCTGGTCTCACAGTAAGGAATTCAGGTACACAATCATTTGGGGAGATTTATCATTTCTGCAAGTTATGCTAAGCAACTTATTTTGGAAGTAAAAAACCATGAAGAATATACACATCATGTTGTCACAGTGATGAGTTTAAGTAATGTTGTCACAGTAAACCTACCTACAGTCAGATCAAATAAATACATGCAAGAAATGTTTACTGGTAACAGCTTTAAGTCGGGAAACATTTGTAGAAAACACTAAAAAATAAGACCGGGTCCAAAAAATGCTAAAATATTTTTACAGGAAGCGTTTTTTATTTCAAAGCGCTATTAAATAGCCTGAGTATCTCAATTAGTTACATAAGCATTTAGTCGGGTCTTTTAAACTCATCAAAAATTATGACTGTTATTACTGTAGTTTTAAAATAACTTCTGTATAATACCAGTACTTGACAATGGCTCGATTTCGAGCTACAGGTACACTAGTTATGTTGATTACAATACTAACTTTGACTCATTCATACAAGTAGACAGTTAAATCTTATGTGTGCGAAATTACCAACGATAAAGGCTTTCCAACGAGCCTACCCCCACCACCCTCAGACGACCTGCCACTGAAAAGTACGCTACAGGAAATGGATCGGTTTTTTTGCTGCACCCTGTATATATTAAGAAATATTGGTTTTTCTTTTCCGAGTCAGTCCTACTCTTTTAACCGATTTTCATAATTTTGGTCTTAAATTAAACTTATTGTGACAGGTTGCTGAATGAAACTACAAACTTTGAAACAAATAATTTATTATAATAAAGAACTTACAGTAACTCTCGACTTGCTGCACCGCTCACGGAGGTTTCAATTTAGACTTATTATTAAAAAATGTATAAATACAATTCTAGCTTAAGGTAAAATAACAATTCTGAATTAGATTCCGCGGTATAGCTTTTGCTAAGTTAAAGATTATTATGTTTGATTTCAATTTAGAAAAAGGGGGAAAGGCGACGCGGAAATTTAGGCGACCGACCGAAATAAATTTAGAATTTGTACTAGCTTCAGCTGAGTTCTCTCCGTTCGCACCCAGGTTGGCTGTGGAGGGGCATCAGCCAATCAACGTTGCGGCTATGTCGCGTCAGTGGTTGGCCGGAAGGTACTGCTTCCGTAACCGTTAGATCACTTGGGGCGTTAGACAAACAATAGTTGTGCAGTTACAGGGTTCAGCGAGGAATTCCAGCAACGTGCATGACACTTCTGGGAACATTGGCCCCGGTCTAGCGCTGAGTCTTGGTCACCGGAATATTCCATGGTGAGACAACTGCGCTGATGCAGAATTTGCACACACAGATTTACCATCAAGCATCGTCATTCATTTATCTGATGTATATTTCGAATTAAGCACAAAAGCAACTTCCTCCCTGTAAATTATTATGGGAGTTAAATTTTGTTTTTCTTTTCTGAGTTCATTTGGCTCTCTACCCGTCCGATTGTCATAATATTGGTCTTAAATTAAAGGTATGCTCGCACAGATTTGCCATAAAGCATCATCATTCATTTATCTACTGAATTACTCAACCAAAAAACATAAATTATATTTTTTTTCTATCCAACTTCAATTGTATATATTTTACCAGTTCTTATTACACTATCTTAAATGTTTTGGTATAAGAACCTTCAGTGAAATACCAGCTTTCATTTGAGCTATTGATTGTTAAGATTGGATGTACGTGTAGCAGTCTACTAAATCACAAACAATAATTATTATTTTAGGACGTATCTGCAATCAATGATACGTAACTCTACATTTATTTTAGTTATTTATGTCTTGGTCTTAAAATACTCCTAGAAATAAGGACTTTCATTTAAGATATTGATAATTTGAATCAGTTCAACATACTGTATTACTCAATTAAAAAAACATAACAATGATTATGTCTAGGATGTGGAATTAAGTTTTGGATATATTTAATCAATTCTAATTATGTTTTCCTATACATTTTGATCTAAAAAAAAACATTTAGTGCAATACCAGCTTTCATTTGAGTTATTGATTATTAAGATTGGACTTACTAAAGCACGCTGCTGAATCATGAACAACCCAAATTAGTAATTATTTTAGAAGTTATCTGTTATCTACAATCAATAATAAATAACTTCATTACTTAAATTGCTCCTAGAAATAAAGGATTTCATTTAACCTAAAGAGTAACCGTCGATTTCAACGGGTTTCACCTAGTTTTACTTACATTCTTAAGTTACTCAGATGGTCAATTTCTGAACGAATCCAGAACAATTGATTTTCACGTTCAATATCAAGAAGTTGAGACACACTAGTATGGCTACCAGACGAGTCACCTACAAGCAACACAAAACAGTTATAAAATTACCAGTAATTTTATTGATTTACCTCAAACTGTTTGAGTTTAATGTCTAAATTTAATGAATTTGATTATGCATGAATTAATCATGGTTGTACCTAAGTTCATCCTTGTTTTATTTGCTAACAGAATAGATTAAGAAGTGGGATCTTACAATTAATTCAAAAGTAAAATACAGTGGAAAGTACAACTACCTTATCCTACTTTGCCATAACCCATTTCTCCAAAAATCTCACAGCATCTTTGCCTCTACTGCTCTTCCTGAAGTCTCGCACTGAGATTTTTTGTGGATTTTAGCGAATTTCCCTATAAGGAAGCAGCTATTACCGTAGGTCTTATGGTAAGACTTGAGACCGGGACCGATTTACTTTTTCATTTTGATGCCCCAGAGGTCAAAAACACTATTTGTTCAAATTTGTATATACGTACGGTACATATATGTGCCCGTGAACGTGATGACTTGAGTAATTTTTTTTTTATTTTGATGAAATTTGGTTTGAAGGTGTAAGGCGGGATAAACTTGAATGAGTTCGTGAACCAGGATGATCGGTGTGGGGTTATGGGGTAAAAATTTTCCAATTTCTCTCTGGACCATTTTAAAAAGCTTAAAAAGAAAAATAATTTAGTATATTGAATTGCTTTTGTGCAGTTTTGTTGCAGAGAAAATTCAAATAAACGGTATCAGCATTCTGACACATACTTTCTCCCATAAATTTGTCAACAACATTTATCATGTGTAAAGCGGTGAGAGTAAATATAAGGAAATGGGATTTGTACAATTTTGTTCAGAATTTAAAGGACTATATATATACTAAATTTTTACCAAAATCGTTCGGGCCATTTTTGTGAAAATCCGATTTTTCCGTTATTTTATAGGAAAATAACATAATTTACAATAACTTTTGAACCGTAATTTTTCCAGAAATGGGATTTGTACTATTTTGTTCAGAATATAAAGGACTATAACATACTAAAATTTTTATCAAAATCGTTCGGGCCATTTTTGGGAAAATCCTATTTTTCCATTATTTTATGGGAAAATCCCCATTAAAAATCAAAATTTCTAAAAAATGAAAAAACAGTCAAAATTGTAAGGACCATAACATACAATGATAAATCAAAACCGGATTTTTTTCTAAAATCCTATTTTTTGTTATTTTATGAGGTTTTTATGGGGAAATAACATAATTTACAATAACTTTTGAACCGTAATTTTTACAGAAATGGGATTTGTACCATTTTGTTCAGAATTTAAAGGGCTACAACATAATAAATTTTTATCAAAATCGCTCAGTCCATTTTTGAGAAAATAATATTTTTCAGTTTTTTTATGGGTTTTTATGGGAAAATCCCCATTAAAAATCAAAATTTCAAAAAAATTAAAAAAAACGCCAGGAGATACCATGGATTAGAACCTACATACCAAATTTCATCGAAATCGGACCACAGGTGTAGTCCCTAGCTCTGTACACATCCAGACACACAGACATCACTTCGAAAACCACTCTTTTGGGTCCAGGGGACCCAAAACGAATATATCCACTCAAAACTCAAACTTGAAAATGTTGACAAAAAACAATACTTTCTCAATATACTATGGTATAGGGGGAGAAAGTAAAAATTGTAAATTCAAAATTACCATGTTATTCTTATGAAGAATATTGTAAAATGTTGTAATTTGCTTATTTATGAATACATTTTGATCAAACTTGGAAAATTTATTTATTTTATACAAAGCTATTAATATTTTACTAAAAAACACACTACTTTATTAGGCTCCCTGTAGCATCAAACTTAGGTACTCTACCTATCTATATTATTAAAATATTTTTTTGGATTTTTGTGTGCAGCAAATCGACCCCTAAATATTTATTTTTATGGGCATATTGGGTATCGGTTTCAAATTAAAGCTCTTATCCTCTAGATGTGCCTTTTGTAGGTTTGGATCATATCTTGTGAACGCCTTTCGTCCTAAACATTTCTGACATCACAGTTGATTAGAGGAATCAAACAAAACTACATAAGAGAACAATTACAATTATTAATGTGTCCCGAACTGAATTTCAAATGATCGAAAAATCCTTAGCTCTGGAAGCATCCAAAGTTGATTCAAGGATTATTTCCATCAAAAGCCAGAATGAGTCAATGAGCAAAGATGAAGTCAATTACATTTCCAAACGCAAAAACAAACAAAATTACAGTGGTTCAAATTCAAATAGAAGATTTAACAAGCCTTCAAACAAATGCAAAATAAATTTAAGGATTTAGGAATAGAAGACTTGTGCTTCCGATGTGGCAGGAACAATCACATAGCTTCAACGTGTCGTACCAATTATAATGACCTCAAATGTTTGTCCTGTAATCGTAAACGTCATGTACAAAAGGTATGCATTAATACTCTTCTTCAAAAGAAACCAAAAATTAAGTACATTAAAACCAAACTAGTTCAATATATCCGTGAGACAAATCCAACCTTCTTGATGAATTCTATCAAATTAAATCAAGTCTGTTTTGTTGACATAAATACACCAGAAAGACGTCAAACTCCTACTCAAAAATATTACATTAACGTATTGTTAGAAGGGAAAATTCAAAGATTCAAAGTTGATTCTGGAGCTGGACTAACATTACTCCCTGAAAAAGATTTTCAAGAACTTCATTTGCAAGCCAAACTAAGACCAACATCCATATGTTTCCGATCTTACACGTCTGGAATATTTGAACCACTTGGCATAGCTGAAGTTGAAGTTACATGCATCAATCAAACATCAAAAGAACTTTATGTAGTTCCTGATAGATTTTCACCAATCTTTGGTCGTACATGGATAAGAAAATTTGGCATAGAACTTGGCCAGATTGAACAGGAATTCAACCATCAAGACGTATTTTCTTCAAATGAAATTATTGCGATTCAAAATATTGATGAAAAGAAGTACCGGCACGCTCATATATTCAAACCAGTAATAAAATGCATTCCTAATATTACTTGTTCTCTAAAACCAAGAGAAAATTCAAAACCTATTTTTAGGAAAGGACATACTGTTAAATTGGGATTAGATGATTGATTGATGATTAGATGAAGTTGAAAAAGAACTCAATGATCTAAAGAAATTACAAGAACACAAGAACCTTACAAGAACAAATACAACTACAAGCCAAAACAAAATCTCAAGAGGATACAAATCAAATTTGAGAGTAAGAAGTTTAAGCGTGGGAGATCGTGTACAAACTAGATGGTACACCCCTACTATGTCATGGGTACAACCACCACCTACCAATGCCATTACACAACCATCATCAACTGTACTTAGAGGTGAAATTGTTATTATTAAAAATCTAAATAACTTCTTGATCAGCATTGTACGTGTTATTAAATTTACGGAAAGTAAATAAAGACGTATCTTTATTTACTTTCCATATTAAAAATCCTAATCATTTTAATCAAGGTTCAAATAATGTAGCTGAGACAATCTCTCATCCAAATACTACGATAGACGACCACCATCAATCCACATCATCTTCAAGTTACTCATCCTCTACAAACCCAAATTCATCAAGACAGACCAGTCCCCAGAGATGCAACACAAGAACAAGAAACGTTCGGTCCTACTTAAAGATTATGTTGCCTAGGCAAACCTTCAAGCGTGGGAGATTGTAGGATTTCTATATACCTTTCTTAAAAGTCAGCTGTCTCAGTTCAGATATAATTATTATTTACATTTGTTGTTATGATTCAGTGTTAATTCTATTTTGTGAATAAAAGACAAGTACATGAAAACTATTATTTATTTTTAACACTGACACAAAAGTAATGTTTCAGTGAATTAAAGTAAAACATTGCAATGCTATTTGCATAAAATGTAAAGTAGAAAATGACTTACGTTGGATTTGGTGTTGTGATAGGATTTTGTGTTTTTATAGTATGTTTTAGGGAATTTAAGTAAAATATCGTAATGTTATTTGTTTAAAATGTAAAGAAGAGATTTTGTGTTTTCTTAGTATGTTTCATTAGCATTTTTAATTTTACTTAGATGCCTCGAAGAGATCGCAGTAAAAATAATAGGGTTTGCAATGCAAATATGAAATATATCACGGATTTTTAAGTCACGAAGTGACGCAGGCTGCTAGTATTATTGAAATAGATTTAATTGTATATCAATTCAGGCAAATGGAAATTCGCTTAATCTGCAGGTTTGCTGTGGTGGGGGTATTTTTTAAACTTGCATTTAAATTATCTTTAAAGTTAGATTTGACAACACATATTGCATTATCATTTCATATTAAATATTTGTAAAGAATGATTTCACTGTAATAGTAGTTTTAGTTTACACAACTATTGCGTAAAGATAGTGTTAACGACACAAGTAGAAAAATTAAACTTAGCAACTTCTACCCTACGAAAACTTCTTGAAAACTTCTACGAGTGTCGTTAACAATATTTACGCAAGTTGCATACACTACTTTACCTACGACAGTTTTTTAATTACTAAAAATCACTACTGTACTCATAATTTCTAAGAGAGGTTATGTTTTAGCGAATTTCCCTATAGGGAAGTAGCTATTACCGTAGGTGGCACGGTAAGACCTAGACCCGGGACCGATTTACTTTTTCATTTTGATGTCCCCAGAGGCCAAAAACACCATTCGTTCAAATTTTTATATATGTATATATATATATATATATATATATAGCGATTTTGATGAAATTTGGTTTAAAGGTGTAAAGCGGGATAAACTTGAATGAGTTCGCGAACCAGCACGATCGGACCATGGGAACAGGGCTTTACGGGGGGTTTTATGGGGTAAAAATTGGTTTTTCTCACTTTTGACCCTCAAAACACAAAATTTCCCGATTTCTCTTTAGACCTTTTTAAAGAGCTTAAAAAAACAAATAATTTAGTATATAAAAGTATTTTTGTTCGATTATTAGTAACGGAGAAAATTTAAAAAATTGTAAATTTAAAATTCCCATGTTAT